TTTGGGTTTTCCCTCTGTCATCACGAGTGCTCTTGTTAACATCTTTATTGAAACCATCACTCAAGCAGATGCTAGTCTATGCACATGTGTTTTATATATGAAATAAAGCTTTACATATATGATGATGGACATTCTTACATCCTCACAAGAATAGTACAGTGATAAGCCACATACAATATTTCAGTCAAAAATGGTCCTATGTCATCTTGTGAAGCCACAGCTTTCTAAGCCTCTGTAACTACACCCTGTAACATCACACAGTGACAGTAACATCTACTGTCTCAGAATATACCTGTGAGGGCAATGTATGAGTGTATGTATATAACAGTATACTTGAAGCATTTTTCTTTTCCAAGGAATGAAAACTCAATTTCAGCAAAAACAACAACAACAACAACAACAACAAAAACAAAACAAAACAAAACAAAACAAAACAAAAAACAGGTAGCTGACCTGCTATGGGGCAAGAGGAAGAGGAAAGGTACACTATTCAAAACATTATGATCGGGCCTTCCCATTTACCTGACTGTGGTCCTGCGCATATCACATTACCTCTGGTTCATGGGTACACACTTTCTGACAGTCCTCACTGCAAACTTATTTGAAGCTGTGGTTTTCCATAACATGCAGATGCTTTTTGTTCATGGACTTCTTCCACTGACCACCAGAGACAGCCTAAGAAATGATTTGAGATTCTTTTTTTTTTTTTTTTGGCTAGATACACATTTTGAATATGCTGCTATTAGGTTGTATCATGTATTTATTTTGAGCTCTTGAAGCTAAGTTTAGATAAGCTATAATTATACTCATTATAATGCTGAAGTGCTCAGATTTTTTTCCACAAGTCAGCTTTTAGTAAAAAGATAAAACATAGAAAGAACTCAGATCAATGTGTTCTTCTTGAAGTAGTCATGCCTTGGAGTCAGTACATATTGGAGTGGGCACGATCTGCCTTTAACTCCTTTTTCCATTACTCTTTGCACAGTGATTATAAATGTTCTGAATGTTTGCCTCAAGTTACTGTCAGAACTCTGTTAAGGAAGAAAGGCCATCCACTATCTTGGTTAATGATCAGGAAATTGATCTATAATTACAGACCATATGTTCTTCTGGGCACTACAAAGAAGTCAGACGACCACTGAACAATAATCTTTGGTTCCAGAGCAATTTTTATTTAAAAAAAATTGAGAGTAAGGAACAAAACAAAAACTGATAGTAACACATTCATGGTTGCCATGGTAAATAATAGTCATCGACTACTCACTTCTTTCTTGTGTTTCCCTGTGCTAAACAACAGGAAGGTAAAAACCTACTTTTCTTAGATGCCTTCAAGTGGCGTTATAAATACTGTGAAGGAGACTATCCCAGTGAAGCCCACTTTAGTCAGGCTTGGGGATACATTCCAGTAATCACAAACACTATCAGCAGTACTCAGCACAAGAGGCTGAAGCAGCAAGTTCAGGAATTCAAGGCCAGCCTGGGCTACTCAGTCAGACAGTGTTTCAGAAGCAGGAAAAAAGGAGTACTGTTTGAGACTTGAGAAAATCTCATGCTCTCAGATTTGGCAGGGGTGAGACAGGAGCCAGCTGCTTGCTGCTACACTTAATGATGCCAGCAAGCTAGCTTAAAGGGACTGGCCTTCTCATGTCCAGGCAATAAACGGGTAGGCCTGAGAATGAGCTAGAGGCAGTAGCAAAAGCTCCCCAAATGTTGAATCCCAGCTCTGTGAATAGGCATTAACTCTGTAGCTTCCCCAGGACCATCTGTCTCAATGTAGCAGGGATGGGTTTCCTTTCTGCTGGACCAGTGAGGAGGTCCTACAGGCAGTGTAGCCTGGTGCTCTGTCTGGAGCCCCTTCTAATGCTTGCACAATCCTGTGAATTTCCAGACCCATGCTACTCCTTCCACTTTAGCCAAGCTGAGTTAATGCCTATTTGTAACAGCAAATATGTGCTAACTGACAAGTATTTGTAAATGTGTGTTCACACAGCAGGAGCTCTGAGAGGAAAACAAGCATTGAGGGTGGGAACGATAAATAGGGGCTCTGACCCACAAAATTACAATGCTACACCTTGAAGAATATTTATTTGCTCTTTACATATGGAACGAAAATTTGGTTTTATACCAGTCTAAGAATACAGAAGCTCCAGAGAACTGCAGCTTTCAGAGACGTTGTCTTAGTAACTTCAATCAAAAGACATTCTCCATTCTCTAGGCTTTGGTGCATCAAATGATCCCTGCTCCCAAGAGCTATTTCTGCTGTGTTAGCCCCAGATATTTAGAGAGAAACACAAATGATCAAAAATATGGTCCCAATATTTCATGGATAATTCGCAAGCCAGCAAAAGCCAGAAAATAGAGTCTTAGAATAAAAAGCCTGAGCCTGTCCTCCTGTGCCAAAGAATCATAGGGATTATAGCTTGGTTTTGAGGCTTTAGGGCCTAAAATTTGTAACAGGCTTGATTAGGAAGCAGTGCCAAGGGGACTGTAGGGAATGTTGCTCTAAGGAATAGAAAGCCCAGTCATGCTGGGAAGCACCTGGGTGTCACTTTCCTTCTCTTTGCTTGGGCTGTTTTAGGATTTTCTGGTTTCCTGAGGTTAACCACACCAAAGCATTCTGGCCCTTCACTGGGCCTTGTTCTCTAAGTCACCCAAGGCACAGCCCTTGGTCTCTTCTCCCCAAGGCACAAGGTGGTGAATATTCCTTCTTCCTGCTCCCTCCTCCATGTAACCTGCCACCCCTGTGGTCAGGAGCACATGCTCTCCTCACATACAGACACAGAGGACAGCATCTCTCCTACCCACTTTTAAGAAGTGTATATGAGGGAGCTATCCCTCAAGACATCTGATTACATAGCCATCCGATGAGTGCAGACCAGGACAGTGCTGAGAGAGACTGGACAACTAACAGAGGCACACAGGTTAATTTTCTCCAGGTAGCAGGGAATCTAGAGCTTTTCCAGTTTGGTTTTTATTGAGAGGTATGTTTGTCACTTTTGGACCGTGTGCTGGTCCATGTGGAGGTTGTAAAGGCAGCAGTGAAGATGCCAGAAAGCAACTGTTGCTAACCCCAGGAAACTGAGCATATGAGTCCTAGCATTCCAGACACTTCTCCCCAGGGGCTGCCAGCTTTGAGTGAGCGGTCAAGTGAGAAGCAGATGAGGGCGAAGCCACTGTATCTTCTCTGAAATTAATTTTAGGGTAGATTTTATAGACCATAAAAGGATTACTCTAACAGAAGCCAGAGGCGTGCTACTGGATGGCAGTTTGCAATGGGAAGTGGGTGTATTTAGTGTGCTCTCTGAGCCTTGCTATACAGTGGGGCTTCTCAACATCTGTTCAAATGCCTGCTTGCTCAACTTCTTAATCTGTCTATCTTGCTGAAATCACCATTAGTAAGGTGGTGGTCAGCTCTTGAGCATTGGGGTGAAAAAGACATCCAGCTCTGCAATGGCCTTCCACAAAGGTACCAGAGGATGAGAAGGTTGGGTTCTCCAAACAGGATCTTAAAGAGAAGGATTATAGCAAGTGTCTTACTTAGGGTTTCTATTGCTGCAGTGAAACACCATGGCCAAAAGCAAGTTGGGGGGGGGGAAGGGTTTATTTGGCTTACACTTCCCATTGTAGTCTATCATTGAAAAAAGCCAGGTCAGGAACTCAAACAGGACAAGAACCTGGAGGCAGGAGCTGATGCAGAGGCCATGGAAGGTGCTGCTTACTGGCTTGTTCCTCATGGCTTGTCCAGCCTACTTTCTTAAAGAACCCAGGACCACCAGGCCAGGGATGGCCCACCCACAGTGGGCTAGGTCCTCCCATATCAATTATTAAGTAAGAAAATACTCTACAGCCTGATCTTAAGGAAGCATTTTCTCAATAGAGGTTACTTCCTCTCATAAACTGTAATTTGTGTCAGGTTGACATAAAACTATCCAGCACAATGAGGCTGTGTAGCTAAAAGGGGGAAAGATTTTGAATGGCTACCTTTTAAAAACTCTATCTGATATAGCAAGCTTGTTCTATTCCTTTTTAGCTTTCAACTTACAACCAATAGTATGTACCTGTTGCTTAGTGATTTGTATCTTCCTATAGTAGAAGATATTTGAATTTTGAAAGCTAATCACACTGAAAGTGGAAAGGGCAGTGCTGATTTGTGTAGGGGGTTTGGGAATTCTTTGAGATGAAATACAAGTACCAGGAAATCCCAGAGATTATCACTGCAAATGAGAAACACTTCATCTTTATTAAATTAAGAAATGGCAGTTGACATTGATTCCCTCCTCCTTAACTCACAAGCTGCTGACTTAACTCAAATCTGTAGTAACTGAAGGTTTTATTTGGCTTAAAATGGGCTTTAAAAAAACTCCAAATGTCCATATATTACATGCCATTCCTAATTATAAAATATGAATGACAGAAGTAAACTAGCCCAGTTCTCCATTCTAGACAACACATGTATCATTACACTCAGTAAAAAAAACAAAAAAAGATGTATTAAAGGTAATAGAAATATAAAACTTACATCCATTAAATATGCTTTCTATATTTCCTTGTTGGTTTATTTATTATAAGTTTTTATAAAAAATGCAGTCAATTTTATATACAACCCAAGCGATCAGAGCTTGACCTCCTCTGAACCTAAAGATCTTCTGGGATTTCTGACATTAGCAAAAATGTCTTAGTCCCTTAATGTAGCTCCTTTTTCAGGCGGTCATTTGTTTTCAATGTGTAAGTCCTTTGCTCTTTGCAGAAAAATATGGAAAGCACTCTCACCTCTCTACAGCAGAGAGTTTGACCACTTACCATGAACCCTGAACTTACCTGTCTAGTCTAAGTAGTTTGCACTCTCTCTTGTTAACATGCACTTGGTACTGTGCAGATGCAAGAAGACAATGCCAGAATTAACAGTAAGAACCCCACGTTCTTAGTGCCCCATGTCTTGTTGTGTTTGTGTATGTTAAAACAGAAGTGGGAAAGGATTTTGTTAAATGAGTTACCTTGTTGCTGTGGTAGAACACTTGAGGGCGAACAGACTCATCCTGGCTTGCAGTCTAGGGTGTATTCTGTTGTGGCTGGAGAGGCAGCACTGCAGGGAATCCTTGTGGATGTGAGCTTGGAATCATGCAGTTGTGGGCTTACATCTCAGTGCACTAGGGAGCAGAAAGGATGAACACTTGGGCTCAGCTCACTTTCTCTTTTCCTGCTTCCACTGTATGCAAGTACCTGGCTCATGGGATGGCACCACCCGTGTCCAGGTCTTTCTCCCTCAGTTTGTACAACTAGAACCCCCTTCTCAGACATACCCCAAAGTAGGCTTGAACCTCCTAGTGATTTTTAATACTTTCAAGTTGACAGTAAACATTAACTATCATGCTTTCTTTATTTACCTGTACCTCATCCCTCTCTAGAAATCATTAGGTTGAAGATGAGAACACTAGGAAAGGAGAGTACAAGAAGATAGATGGGCAGGTGTGCCTCTTTCATCATTTCTCTTTGATTGGGAAAACACAACTCAAACAAATCAACTTCAGAGCCATCACCACATCCTGCCTGTTTTGTGAGAAGTCCAGCATCCTGCCTGTTATGTGCCACCACCTGGGATGTGCTGTCACTGACACTTACATTCAGAAACTACAAACTCCAAATGACACTGCTCTGTAGGTCATTCTCTAAATGCACTGCAGCATCTCAGTTTGGGAGTCTGAGAGTAGAATGAGGAAACCTGAAAATATCTAGCTGATTCTTTCATTTTACATCATATAGGGAAACCTTGGGTGTTTGAGTCGTTAGTCTGAGATGACTTGGCACCTAGCAATGACATCAAAAACAGTACACACAGCCCCCATCCTGCATCCTCTGATTATCATCCCTCCTAACTTGTCTTTCAGCTCTCCAATCTTCCCTTCTGTATGCTGTAGTCTTCCTGGAGTGTGGTGTGTATGCATGAATACTAAAGAGACAAATCCCAATGGATTCTCTGCAAGCATTATGGGAGAATCCCACCCTCCCGAGGCTTCACTCAGTCCATTTCCTCCATATCCCCCTTGACTAAGGGACATCTGGTCTCTGCTTGAATATTTACAATGTCAAAGAAGGCTTCAATATCCAAGATAAACCATCCCAATATAGAACAGCACTTCTTAAGTGGAGAAGTCCATTGTTTCAAGCAAAATATGCCCACTAATAACCCCTACCAGTCTCTAAGGCTTGTTTTCCAGTAAGAAAAATGGCTTGCTTCCCTACCCAGTACATCAGAAGAGAAAACATTCTCCCTTGAGTCTTAGTACTTGAATCTTTGAAATTTAATAAGGCTTCTCTATCCCAGAGGGCATTCCCAGAGAAATTGCAAACCCAAGACATCGCCTATGTTCCTATGAGACTGACAGTTGCCATGGGGATGGGATGGGATGCTGTCCTCCAGTGCTCCATGATTTCATCCCAACAGAGCACTTGCTAAGACCTAAGTGCCTGCTAAGATTTTTATAGAGGTCCATCAGCTGGGCCTAACAGAGGAAGTACTGGGTCCCTGTGCGCCAGAGCCAGGGACATGATTTATTCACAGCTTATTGAGTGGCTCTAACTTCCTTGCCTCCTTCACAGAAAAACACAGGAATTCTGGTTATATTATAACCCCAGGCTCCTGGCTTCAGTCATAATTCTTAGGCGGATTTCAATGGCTTATAATTAAAAGTCGAGAGAACTCCAACAAAACCTCAGATGATCGGGCACCAAAGGTCCAGTGGATGCAACTAAAGGCAGCCTGACTACAAATGTTAAGCTCTTGATTTTTTTTTCCCTGTGGCCATAAACACAGAACACCGCTCAGACTGGCTTCAGCAGGATCTGAAGCATGACTCACTCAGTGCCGGGAATTTCTGCTGAGAATACAGCTAGTCCAGCAGCTACTTTACAGACTAATGAGAAATCTGACTCTGTTCTTAGACAGAAACAGCTTTCAAAGACAGCAGGACCATGCTGCACGGGAGAGTGTGGCAGACTGCAGAAAGCAGCCAGGAGCCACCCGATACAGAACCCAGGGAAGGATTTCTATTGATTTTGTATTGGAGAGGGACAGGGGTGAGCATTCCTTGATGCAAATGGCTCATCTCTAGAGGATTTGAAGGACTTCCCAGCCCCATCCATCATCTTCATCATCAAGTCAGGAAATAGGAAAATTGGACTAATGTTAAGCCTCACATATATTCAGCAATATCCTTCCTGGCTTGCTCATAGGCAGAATTTCAGCTTGAATCTTCAAAGTCAGTGTCTTGGCTAAGTATGCCTTTCTCCCCTCCCACACCTTTCTCTTTTTCTCATTTTTGTTTAAAAACTCTTATATAGGATGTCACAATTTAGCTCAGGCTGGCCACAAACTCGAAATCCTTCTGCCCTAGTCTCACAAGTGCTGGGATTGCAGGTACGGCACACTATGCCTAGTATATGACAAAAGTTAGAAAAATATATTAGAAATTATTTAGAAGATTTAGGATATAAAAACAACAACATCCCATCTAGCATCAGAAACAGAGAACAACCTATTAACTTGAGTATTATCCATGCTACATTTCATTTGTTTTACCCCATACTATTAGATACAAACTCTATGCTGAATCGCATATTTTCTATCCACAAGCACTTTTGGGCAAAATAGTACATAGTATTGACTTAAGTGAGTGCACGTTATATAAATATAAATAAAAGAGACTTTGGTTTTTTTGTCTGTTTGTTTGTTATGCTCCACTACCTCCCAAGGATCAGTTTCTTCCTTTCAGAGAAAGGCAGGCTGCTTCAGCAAGGAGAGTCATTAAGGACTAAATGCAAACAACTGACATTTTCCCCATCCTTTCTTCCTTATAATGAATACATATGTACTCAGAGAAGTGAAGCAATGAGCATCATTGATTCCTAAAAGCCAATTGCAGATCTAGAGTCTTTCCTTCTTTTCTGCCAGCACATACCTAACTTATTTTTCTTATAATTAAAAGCAAGTGTTCTGTGATGAGAGAAAAACCAATGAGGCTGGAAGAAAACTGGCATTCTACTTTCGCTCTAGTCACTAGCATAAAGGAAAAAAGAGGTTAGCAGCAGTTTATCCTATGCCCCAATGACTGGAAAGTCAGAAGGGTCCCTGCTACATGTTCTATTTTATTACTGATAATATGTTTAGGGCTTTTAGAAGTATGGATATTTCAAGATTTCAAAACCTCAGTACACGTTACTATCAAAATGTAGAAAGAATTTAGAAGCTAGGCCGGGTGACATGACCATGCTAGTACTTGCTAGGCCAAAGCAAGAGAGAATGGGTTTTAGGTCAACACAGGCTATATATGATAGCACCTCATGCCGGGTGTTGGTGGCGCAAGCTTTTAATCCCAGTGGAGGCAGAGACAGGTAGATCTCTGTGAGTTCAAGGCCAGCCTAGTCTACAGAATGAGTTGCAAGACAGTCTCCAAAGCTACAAAGAAACCCTGTCTTAAAACAACAACAACAACAAAAAGATACCGACTCAAAACAAAACAATGTTAAATAGAATCACTCTGAAATATCATTCTGAACACTTGACACAGTTTCAAACTCTATCAATTTTAGAGTGAAGAACTTGGGTTTTCATGGGACCTATTCCTTAGAGCTAAGAACTTTCATTAGATAGTTGTCTGCAGTATAATGCCAAAGAGAAAACAGACATGTCCCTCACTAAAAAGAGATGGGGGGAGAGGAAGAGAGAGAGAAGGTCCCTACATCAGTTAGAAATTCTGACTACTGCTAAATGAGCTGTTGATAAATTTAAATGCCAAATGCCCTTGACAAATGTGACATGGAAGAGGAAATTTTAACTTTCAGTCAATGTTGAAAATAAGAAGTTATCTTTAAAGGCCTCCGACTGTGAGTGAAAAGAGACACACGATTAATCTTTGTTTACAGCGGGGATGAAGGAAAAGACTTGTTGTCTGGGAAACACAAACACCGATAACGTGGACAACATAGATGGCTTAAATGCAAAGGGCATGTCTCCTCAATGAAAGCATAGACTTAGGGCTGGGGAGATGGCTTGGTGGGTACAGGTAGAAGTGGGGGTAACCACCTATCTCTATGTGGGCTCACCCTGCTAAAGCACATTGTAACTGTTTTTATTGCACAGATGTCAGAGCCTGGTAACTTGATTACTTCACAGAATGTTGTCATATGTGCTACTTCAGGGAGCACAGTCACTTTAAGTAAAGTCAGAGTCATAGGGCTGAAGTCATGGTTCAACTGTGCACAAAGCAAGCCCCAGGTTCAGTTCCCAGCACTGAATAAAATAGGTATATGTCTGTAATTCCAGCACTTGAGAGGTAGAGGCAGGAGACTCAGAAGTTCAAGGTCATCTTCCTATACACAGCAAGTTTGAGACCAGCCTGGACTATGTATCCAGATACTGTCACATAACAAATAAACAAACAAAACAAAAAACCAGGATTCTGTTACAATGACAAGGGAAGATGTTTGATCTTGGGAAGAAAACAGAAAGCCTCTGCCAATATCTAAGATAGAAAATTGAGAATTATGAAAGAAATAGTATATAAATAATTTTTTAGATACCACAAGCTTATGTGGTTACAGATACTGTTGTTAGCAGGTAATTGAGGCCTTAGGATGCATCTACTGTACTAAATACCAAAAACACAACTAAAAGTCATCCTCCTCTCTCTTGCTTTGCCTGTAATCAGGGGACTTATCTCCCAGCACAGTTAACAATGTCCAAATGAAATGTTTACAGATTCCCAGATAATACCAACATTACTAAGCCTGCCCTGTGGGCAGTGGGATTGGAGCCCACCCATATCTAAGTTGGAGTCTGCCCATACCTGGGCTTTCTTTTGTGAATCAATAAGGTCTTTGAAGGTTACAAGGAAGAGATTGTAAAATCCATGACTCTTGATGTTTTTCAAACTTAACATTTCAGGGTCTGATGTCTCTAGTGGAATAGAATGAGGCAGGCTCTATTCATAAGCCTTTGTCTTTCTCTCCCAATGCTTGGTAATAAAGGACTAAGGGAGCAAAACCTTGTAGCACCTGGACCATTATGCATAACAAATATAAAGCCTGACCCTTCTCAAGGAGTCTCTGGAATTCTTCACTTGTGTAGATATACACATCTTGCATGCTTTGA